GCTTGATACGGCGCCAGCTCATTAGTCACAGCAGTGCATTCTTCTGTTTATTTCTGGATTCCGGACATAATTCGAACCGCCTCAAGAGTTTTGCTGGCTACTGTTTCAGGTTCGTGCGACAAAATCTTGACAGCCTTGTTGGGCATTGCCTGTTATGAGCACCTAGCTGTTTTTGATCTAGCGAGTTCATCCAAACTCTTTGATTCTAACATTTATTTGTCTTTACGATACATCAGTTTTCAAGTTATTCAGATTTCAGATCCGCAAAGCAACTGGGAAGATTTCTTTTGAGTCAAGAGGAGATGTCTTCAAACCTTCGAGGTTTTTGTCTCTTTTAATGGATTCTATTGAAAACTTCTAGAGGAAGCCGAGTAAAATGTTTGAAATAGACCACAAATATTCATGGGCGTTACCTGAGATAGTTTTGCAGCAATTCTGAGCAATCGTATAGATTTTGATATCTAACTTAAATTTGCCTGAGAAACATGACCAGCCTTTTGCGGATCCCTTTTCATACACAATGTTCTCTGTCCTGAGAGGATCCCTTCTCTAAGCAACAAAGCGTTTAAGGAGGGGATGGAGGGTGCTCCAATGGGGCTCATTTTGGTTGAAATCGCTCCCCTTCACTGAAGGGATGTTCATTACGGCCCATATAGCCAACAAAGGGCGCTTTGGATAATTTCTCATTGCATGCTTAATAATCATAATCATCATGGAAGTATGTAAGAAGAAAGTTTTGCGATGTACTAGAAGTTCTAGAATTGTGATTCATTTGGTCTCATCAATCCAATAGTATTCTTACTGAAAGTGCTCGGCATTGCCCCACCGACCACGCTTACTACTTGTGAGCGAGACTTCCGAGATGTAAGCCTTTCTCGTATAGCACTGGAACAGTATTTTGTAAGGAGAAAACGGATGTTAGTATCATCTCTAAACTACCTGTTAACAATAAAATAAACCAAAGGATATACTCCGCTATTTAAAATCCACATCATATTTAGTGCCATGTATGACCAGATGTTTGATGGGAGAATCATCTAAAATGAAAGCTAAGAATCTTTACTATTCATATGAAAATGTTCAGCATTGTTGTTTATTGTTTTCAATGACTGATAAAGTGCTTTGAGCTTAAGCCTACCTGAGAATGATGCCATAGAAAATTAAGCACAATGCAGTAGAGCGTGATTACAATTGCCTGTATGAGCACCTTCAACTCGGTTTTGCAGTTCGACTGAGTTAGAAAACGTTTTCGCTAGAAGGAAAAACCATAAGTTCTAAGAGTGTTTTTAGAATTAGGTTTTTCTGCACAAAAATCCCACAGTGCTGTAGAGAATGATGATAACAAAAATATAGAAGACGGCAGATATCAAAATGGTGCCTAATTCAATAATCATTTCACACTTTTGCACATAATAGGAATATTTCAGAGTGCTGTCGTAGCCCCATGAATAGCTTAAAATTATGTTTGAATAATACTAATAGCAATATGACTAAAATAGACCTACAGAGCTGGAGAATAGAGAATAGCAGCTCCAGGAGAAGCAAGAGAAACGGCAAATAGCAGCCAAATGATCATTATAAAACCAAACCACAACTAAAAAAAGATCATTTCATAAGGACAACAGGAAAAAA